AGGAATGCCTTTCCTGACTGCCCTGGCTAACCAAGGGTCTTGTCTTCTTGTCTTGGCCTTCTTTCTAGTCCTATTGTTCCCTGATTTTAATGTATTTGTTTGCATATTTTTGGTCTTTGGCCTTCCCTCGCTAGACTTGAGAGCTTCATGCTCTTACTCATGGAAGAAAATAATGAATTTAATTTTGGGTATATGGTATTTTTCATTCCTATGGTACATCTAGGTAAAAATAAAACCTTGGGACTGATGAAAATATGGGAAGAGGATTCAGGCTGAAGATTTTTATTTGGGGTGGTTGGAGCTATGAGAATCAGTTAATCAGGGAAAATGGGCAGAAAAGGACAAAACATCCTCAAAGATACTAATTGTTAAGGGAATGATAAATTTAAGAGGACGCTGCAAGGAAGACAGGTATATTTGACTTGTAGCTTGACCTCAGATTTGAGTACATAATGTTTTTGTAGAAATGTAGATCTACTAAACATTTTAAGGAACACTGAATAATTGAATTTTCTTATATTTTGATATGTATTGTGTCTCTAACCTGGTGTCTGTTATTTGTTTTTTTGTAAAAAGAACAAATACCTACCAGAGTGAATGATTATTTTCGATATTAGACAGTGCATTACAAATAATTATTTTAAAATCACATAAGCTTGTTTTTAGAAGAAAATTTCAAAACATTGTGTTTCCTTTTTGATATATTCTGAATGTTCTAGCAAGGATTTATTGTGTGTCTGTTATGTGACATTTTTACACCTTTCAGGAGGAGGCCTTTCTGGCTTTTATAACAGTGCCAGACACAGTAATATTTGCTAGATGGTTTGAAAGTGCTTAATGTTGCCATTTATCCTTTATTTCAATATATACTTTTCTACTTACTGGAGTAATAATGAACTTTAGATAGTTAGAAAACATCTATTATCATTCACATGTTTAGGCATAAACTTTACACGGAAAATACAAGAATAAAAATATAGCATTAATAAATAGCAAATCAGATAACATTTTGACCTCATTTGAATGGACAAAGGAAAATATCATTTCAAAAAGAAGCTATATTTACTATAGCTTTCTGTTTTGCCATAATGGTTGGGCAACAGCTGTATCAAATTTTATGTGGTTTAGTTGTGGTCTGTGTAGAAAATATTCAGGATTATTTTTCTTAGACATTGCTAATAGAAGAGTTAAAAAAAATGAAAAAAAATTTTTTTTTCATGCTTTAGTGCTCTTATAAAGCAAGTGAACAAGTCAATAGATGGAACAGCAGATGATGAAGATGAGGGTGTTCCAACTGATCAAGCCATCAGGGCAGGTCTTGAGCTGCTTAAGGTAAATATGCTTAAGGTGAAATTAAGTGCCTAATTAGACAGTTGTTAAACATATATAGTTTGGATTTTTTAGACTTGAGATTTGCTTCTTTAGGTTTATAGAACCTGAAGTAAAATTTTCTTAATCATTTTTAGGTAATTTTGAAATTACATGTTTATTCTAACATGTAAGCTAAATATTCTCAGGGTTAAATTGTATAATATAACCTAGTATTAATTATATTAAGGATTATAATTTGAAGCTTTCATTAGTAAACAGAGAACTTGCTTACCCCTACCACAGGAAGAAGCAAAATTATAAAGTCCATTTTATGTGTTATTTTGTTAGCTAAAATGTACTACTACTTTTTACTGATTGCAGAAATATCAGTTAATTGTTGATAACATTGAAAATATAAACTAATAAAGAAGAAAACATTGAGAAGCGTATCATTCATAAATATCTTTTGTTTCCTTTTAATCTTTAGAAAAATATACACTTTTATATAGTTGAGATCAGACTGAAAATACAATTTCGTATCTTGACTGGTTTCCCGTAATAAATTATAAGCATTTTTCTCAGTGTTTTTTAAGACAGTATTTTTAAGAGTGTCAAAAAACAGATCTGATTTTAGATGTATGCTTTAAGTTAATTGCCTCTGTTTCCTCATCTATAATGGAGCTAGTAACAGTACTTCTCTCACAGGGACTAAATTAAATCATGTACTTAATGTCTTAGCAGAGTGTCTGGCTCATACTAAAAATAATAATAAACATTATTTTTTGAAATGGTGATTAGTTCATTTTGGGGATATCATAGTGTTCCCAACTATTTTCATATTGTTGGATATTTAGATTTTTCTAATTTTATTACTGCTAAGGTAAATAAGATCTCCTGCTAATGTCTTTCTTTCTTTCTTTCTTTCTTTCTTTTTTAAATACTAGAAGGACATTACTGGGTCAAAGAGAATGACCACTTTCAAAATTCTTGGATATATGTGTATTCAAATTCCTTTACAGAGAAATCGTACTCATACAGTATATATAATTCAGTCAACAGTGTATGAAGGTGCCTATCTTCACAAATTTGGAATAGTATAAAATTTTAAGAGTTTAACTAATCTGATAAGCAAAAAATAATGCTTTAATTTATTAATTATTGCTAGTGAGATAGATCCACCTTTGATATGTTGATCATTAGTGTCTTCTCTATAGTGAATTCATTGCTTTTATCCTGTGTTCATTTTCTACTGACATCTCAATCTTTCATTTTTTTAACTGACTTAAGTGTGCTTTTAACTTCCTTGGCTTTTTTGTAGGACATATTTGATATATAAAAAAATGTATTCTGTTTAAGTTATAAAGTATAGTAATAAAATGAATACTAATAGAAAGTAAAAGGAATGCTAACTCAAATTAAATAGAATATTAATACTGTTGAAGTTCACTGAGTGGCTTTTTACCCCACATCTCCCAGGTCTGATTGTCCTGAATTTGGAGTTTATTATTCTCTTAACTATTCTGTATAGATTTTCCATTTTGTATATCTCTAAATAACATCACTTATTTTGCTTGTTTCTCAGTCTTATAAATATGGCATTATGCTTATACGTTTTTCTACTACTTGCTTGTTTTTACATTCTACATTTGAGTCTAATTGTTTATTTTAAGCTTGAAAGTCCTGTCATGTTCAGAGGGGTTTTTATTGTTTGTGATTTTTAAATTTGAAACAATGCAGCTAAAATTTATTTTGAAATTGTGTATTGTAGGGGAGGGTCTAATTTGATTTCCTCCAGATAACTATCCACCTTTACCAGGACTATTTATTAAAAATAAAAATTCCATCCATTCTCATGTATTTTCTGTTACCACCTGTATAATCTATTACACCCTATCTTAAGTGCTTATATACGGTAAGCTCTATTTATTGCTTTATTTTTTCTTTTTTTTGTTGCTTCTAATATTAGTACCATGTTGATTTGATTATTGTAACCTTACAATATCTTTTATTGTCTGGTGTTTTACCCCCTTCCCTAGATTACTTTTTTCCGAAAATGTTATTAGCTGGTCTCTTCTAATGATCTTTGTTTAGAATCATAGAGGTATTTTTTAAAATTCTCTCTTCTCATTTTCCTTTTCTCCTACCTTCATTCTCCTCCACCCCCCCTCCAAACGTTAACCAAATCCAGATTATTCTGAGTAGAATTTTGGTACATGTAATTTAATTTTGAAGGTAATTGTTTCTTTAGATTGTACAGTCTTCCTATACAAGAACATTTCTGTTATATATTTGAGTAAGTTTTAAATTTTATTTATAGTGCTCTTACTGATTTTTTAGCATAATTATTTTTGTATTTACTTGGATTTGTAGTATTTCTAATATGTAACATTTCAGATTTATAAAGGTGAAAAGGATTACAGATCATTTTTTATGATCATTTTTTAGGTACTCTCATTTACACATCCCATCTCGTTTCATTCTGCTGAAACATTTGAATCTCTCCTGGCTTGTCTGAAAATGGATGATGAAAAAGTAGCAGAAGCTGCACTCCAAATTTTCAAAAATACAGGAAGCAAAATTGAAGAGGATTTCCCACACATCAGATCGTGAGTTGAGATTTTTCTGATAAATATTCTGGAAGACAGAAAAATACTTACTGTTTCTTGATTTATGTAATCGTTGGAATCTTTTAAGTTTTGAGGAAGTAATGTCTGGGTTATCTTAAGTCTAAAATATTCAGTTTAGATTCTCATTTCCTGGGAGAAAGCATTGATTGGTTTTAGAAGATTCATGAAAATGTAGGGTGAGCATGGCGTTTCTTTCTGAAGCATCAGTTTTGATTAAAGATTTTTTTTTTTGAATTGTATATATACTTTTTTAAAAAAATTTATTTATTTTTTGTTTGCGTTGGGTATTCATTGCTGCACGCGGGCTTTCCCTGGTTGTGGTGAGTGGGGGCTACTCTTCGTTGCGGCGCACGGGCTTCTCATTGCGGTGGCTTCTCTTGTTGTGGAGCACGGGCTCTAGGCGCGCAGGCTTCAGTAGTTGTGGCGCGCGGGCTCAGTAGCCGTGGCGCGCGGGCTTAGTTGCCCTGTGGCATGTGGGATCTTCCCAGACCAGGGCTCGAACCCTTGTCCCCTGCATTGGCAGGCGGATTCTTAACCACTGCGCCACCAGGGAAGCCCTTAAAGAT